TCAACATCACACCAGAACTCAGCTCATCAAGTCACAGGTTCTACAAATCATTCTAGTAACCGAATGGTTTGCAAGGTTATTACTCTGAACGTCTCCAGTGGGAAAAGTATGGTTTTTTAAACTAACGTATCCTAGTCCACCGTCAGAGGACAAAATGGTTCCTACTTTTAATATTACACTAGCTAAGTTAGTAATTTCAAACTCATCAGTACCTTTTCTGGCCCAACAACTTTAACCAACATGGGGAATGATCATGACAAATGCCATCACTCATGGTAATGCAGTTCAGGGACTGGTCACTGGAGGTAGGCCAACTTACTTTTCTGTAGGAGATGCAATTCAACATTTGAGTTCCCTTGGGAAAGTTACTGCTGAAGATCCCCTGGATGTGGAACTCATATGCCAGAATCTTGATATTTCACAGTCGCCATTGGCTTTCTACCTCCGGCGTCTAGTGAGAGAGCCACAACTTGTAGCCATGGTAATCATAAAAGGAATGTCCATCTGCTTTCTGGGAAGAGGCAATGAAGAACTGCTGATGGACAGTCATCTCCAGTTTGGAGCTCTTATAGGAAAACAGACAACAGGATATTAAGCCATTTTTAAGTACATGCAAGTGGCTGGTGAGTCCTACAGTTGACATGTGTTCTGTCACTTTTGTAACCTTTACTTAAAGTTTCTGTTCACGGCTCACTGATTTCGACGTCCATGGGTAAAACAGTCGCGATATTTCACAATAAACAAGACCAAGATTTAAACTGTCTCCAAAGTCCTTCTTCCATTTGTCCTGTGCATCGGAATAGTTGGAATTTAACCTTTTCTTCCTCACTGTAAGACAGACAGGTGTTAGAGAGTCCACCAAGTTGTTTTGATAAATTTACGCATGCGCCATGTATGACCGCTGTCTTGTACGCGCGGGTCGTTAGGAACTTTTGGACTTGGGGAAGCAAACTGCGGCTTAGCGTCGCTTTCACAGGGAAGATTGAGTTAGTAGTCTATTGAAATGAAACTACAGTATATTTTCACGAGTTCTGCATTGGATTTGTAGCCGCGCGGTCATTTTAAGCTTGGATTTTTCGCTTCTCGGTTCGGGCGTGCGGAAATGAAGCGTGCAGCCTTGTAAACCTAGAAATGGACAACTTGCTAAAATGGTTTCTTTTCAACATAGTAAGTGGTCAGATAACAAGCGATGCACTGTGGAAGTAAGGTGAGGTATTTTCATTGAGAACTTGACTTATTTTTTAATCCAAAGGGCGGTCGTAAAAGTTCCCATACAAACTCTTATAATTTCGCCATGACGCTTGTACTTCCCAAGATGATCATCTCACAGCTTGGGCAACTTGTGACCTAATTGTTCCAAACAAGCAGTCCTTTTTTGTTTTCAAAGACAGTATATATAGTGGTCTACATTAAAAAAAAACTTAGAGACATTAGTTTATGTAAAATACTACAACTTTATTTTAAAGGACTTCTTTCTTGAGCGAAGTTTCACCTTCTCCTCCATATACGTAAGAGTCTGTCCTCCAATAGATCCACTCAAATGCGTGTATAATACTCAGAAAAACACACCAAAAATGTTGTACAATGTTGTAAAAAGGCTATCGATAAAAAGATTTAAATCAAGGTTAAGTAATCACTAGATTCTTACAATAAATAACCCACTGGAATTTATTGGTAACTCGTAAAGTTATCTCTTCTTTCCACCTTGTAGCCATCTCTTTTAAAAATAACTGCCAGGCTACGGTATGAGCAATATCTAAACATCTACGAGATATTATTATAATAAACAATACTTTTGTGCTAAGTCTCTCCGCTGTACCAACTCATGGACTAATGCATAATACAAAGTCTTATAGTCTGCAGCTTCCCCACTATTTGTTTTCCACAGTTTCAGCGTGTGAAATCCCCTTTGAGACAAAGTCTTACGGCTGTCTTCAATTTCTTCTATGTCATCTTCCGTAACTCCAGGTAGTCGACGTGCCAGTCGATCCCACTTGACACCAATAGCTTTGCCAAGTGTTTGAAGATCATCATTAGTTACTACTCCCTCTTGAATATAAAAAATAGTGTTAATTATTTTAAGATTACCAGCTTACTTTTTACTTACTGTGACTCAGTAAATATTGTAAAATTACTCATTGCAAGTTATATTTTGTAGAGGGGGGAATGGGAAAGAGAGCAAAGGCATTTTTTTTGTCACGCCATGGATTTTCCATTCATAACGTAGAGAAAATTTCGGGACCCGAGTGATTCATTAAGATTAGTGATCACTTTACGTGCACCTCTGTCAATGTCATTTACTTCATAAATTGTACTTATTGCTAACAGTTGCGAGAAAACCTTCGCAACGTAGAAAGAAATGACAAAGACGCATCCAAACCAGTCGCTAGACACTTAAACCTCCCTAATCATTCTCAACAGCATATGTCAGTTTGCGGCCTTTCTCTACATCTAGGCAGTTCGGAAAGCCGCAAAACACTTAAACAAAAATTTATCTTCCAAATCGGCACTCTTAATCCCCACGGTATCAACGAGCGCTTTTCATTCAACTAATTTATTCTTGTTTTCTCGTCACCGTATCCCACCAATAGCGTAGCTCCATTTTCTGCATAGAAACTCACACAAAACCCACAGTTCCTTCAATCGCTCTGACGAAGGGCTAACGCTCGAAACGTCAGCCTTCAAGCTCTTTACGGTGGCCAACTAACGTTTTCAATTCAGTTGTTAACACTAAATTACCTGTTATACTCTCTCACCGACGTCGCACCACAGTTTCTTTAAAAACTTACCCCCCTTCCCCTTATTCATTGGTTATTTCTTTACCGAGCTCAAAACAAACCATCTCTCTTTTCTATTTAAAAACATGACGCTATCGACATTGCTGATCCTAGCAGTATGCAGGAGGCGTGTCATATGAGCTTCGTAATAGACCTCACACACTGCAGAGTCTGTGGCTCAGTGGTAGAGCATTTGGATTCGGAACGCGGAATCCGAAGGTCTAAGGTTCGATTCCTCATGGAGACTCAGAATTTTTTCTTTGTCCCAAGCTCGTGACAAGACGAAAACATCTTTGTCTAGATACCCACTCTCGCAGTCCTCTTATTATCAGGTGTAATATGTTAAATCAAACTGATCAGAGTTGATTTATGTTGTGACAGCCAGTGGAGGTATAACTGTGGTGAGTCAGTAACAATTCAACACAAAAAACTAATTTGGGAGAGAAATTGAAAGTTTTTCAAGTCTGTAAAGAAATTTTAAATGATTGATCCTTAAGATATCATGCTATTGGATAATCAGTCAACTTAAAATGTAATTTTCCTTTTGTCCTTACCCTTAAACTTCCTTGTCTTACTAGTGCTGGATACCCCAGAAGTTCCAGGTTCTCCAATAGGATCAAGTTTAGGTTTTTTGGCAGCTGAGCCACTTTTCTCCTCTTGCTTAACTTCAGTGGAACCAGAAGCTAGTATGTAAGTAAGAGAGATGAAAAGGTTAGGGTAAAAATGTGATATTTCATTTTTGTGCTTGCATTTCCTCCTGCTAACTAGTTTGTCTAAAGAACTAAAGTTTAAGAAGTTTAGCCTGCAGAACAGGCATAATTTGTTGCGTTTTTCAGGCAAATGGAGATAAGTACCAGGAGAGCGCAAGTCACGCACAGGGTAGGAGCGCAAATAATAACTCATCCCCTTGACTTCATGCTCGCCTCACGTGTGCCTCAATTCGAACTCTGGAATTTAGTGGAAGCTGTTATGTTCCCTTTAAATCATGCGGTTCTGAAAAGTGAAATTTTCCGGGGCTCTGACTGTTGCTGCTGATAGTACGAAATTGCCACCTAAAGTCGTTTTCAAAGGATTGCGAATGCCGAGAGACCTGATTGTTCCCAGTTTATGAAGGTTTCGTTCCAAAAGGAAGAATAGATGGACGAGGAAGGTGTTTAAGAGTGGATCTGCCAATGTTTGCTGCGTATTCTACCCAATGAAAAGTCCCTCCTGGTTTGGGATTCCTTCCGAGGCCACCTCAACGAACAAGTGAAGAGTCTCCTTCGTTGTCGAACATTGATGTTGCAGTAATACCAGGAGGGTTGACTCCAGTTCTTCAACCACTCGATCGTAGCCTGAACAAGCCATTCAAAGAGAATGTCAGATGAAAGTACGTAACCTGACTCATCAGCAGCCCATTTGAATACACGCCCGAAGGAAAGAAGAAACCTTCAACCCGCAACATGCTTCTTCGTCGGATCAAGGAGAGTTAGGCTAAAATTCCCTTGGTGATGGTTCAGAAGTCCTTCAAAGTTTGTGGCATTTCAAACGCACTCGATGGTACAGGATATGATGCCCTTTGTGCTAAAGAGATGGAAGGCATACCCGAAGCCCGGGACGATGAAGCACAAGACGAAATTGCTAACGAGTTCAAGACAGACAGCGAAGAGGAAGATTAATGACCTACAGTGGCATAACTGTGCTCTCACTTCAAAGAGACGGCTCTTTTAGCGGCCACCACCAATGATAAAGTCAGTAAACAACGGGAAAAAGTTCGTACTTAGCTTTTTTCAAGTTGAATATTCGGCTGTAAGCCGAATCTGACCGTGTGTAGTGTCCTTTGCATAGTGTTTACGTTTTGATTTCAAGAAGATCTCGGCTATGAGCCAAAACCCTTTTTCGGCAAAAAGTAAGACTTTCAGAAAAAATCGCTCGGCTTATAACCGAATAGCTACGTTAGTTAAAAAAAAAAACTCTGTGAGATGAAAGAATGCAAATAGTGCTGACCATACAACTTAATGTTTTTGAGATAATAGTACTATGTAGCAATTTTAAACAGCGTACTTAAATAAGGATTGTATTATGCAAAATTGTTTATCTCTCTTTTAAAGAATGTTACAGCTGACTAGTACATGTCCTGCAACAACAAGCAAACACAAGATAATTGATGGCCAAATTGGCCAATTGCCATGGCAACCAAAACAGTTACAACTTAAAGCCCTGCTTTGTCAAAACCACAAATGATTCCTGTAGGGTAATGTCCCCACAGGTGAATTTAAATCATCATCATCTGGATTTTGCCCCATGATAAGTAAGAAATTAGTTTGTTGATGACCCTGTAACAAGTGTCTGAAGTGAGATAAACATTTCCTTGGAACAGATGTAAAAGCAATCTGATTGACAAACAACATTATATAAAATCCACAGATTTCCAAGGAATGTAAAGTTACATAGTTCCTTAATTTTAAAAGTAAATCACCTTTTTGTTGCTTCCCAGACATGAAAGGGAAATCTACATTTGATGCACACTGCTCTGGATTCTTAGCAAGGTCTTTCACAAAATGGAAATAGCCCTATTAAGGCATTCACATTAAAAATGTCATAACTGTGACAAAATACTGACCAGGAATTGTTTCCTTAGATATTTAAAGAATGTCCAAAAAAATATTGGTATATTGATTTTGTTGAAATGTTTTATACCTGCTCCATGTAAAACAATGCTGAGTGTTGATAACACTAGGGCATGTTTAAAAAATAAACAAGTGAGTAATAATACCAGCTACTCGCTTTCGAGGTGAACGTCTTTTGCCTTGGGACTCCTGTTGCATTTCCTCTGGACGTCCTGTTAGATGTCGATAAATGAAAAGCACAAATTACACAAAGACATCTAATCAAAGTATCAGTGTGAATGTCACTCATCTAAGCCCCACATGAGTAAAATATGTTGGTGCAACTGTACTTCAACTCTGTCTGGCATAATTCAATGTTTTGTACCAGCTCTATACAAAAGGGATGCATAGTGTTGATAACACTCAAGTATGTTGAAAAAATAGACAAGTGAGTAATAATACCAGCTACTCGCTTTCGAGGTGAACTTCTCTTCCCTTGGGACTCCTGTTGCATTTCCTCAGCATGTCCTGTTAGATGTCAATAGGGGATAGCACAAATTACACAAAGACAACTGATCAAAGTATCAGTGTGAGTGTCATTCATCTAAGCCCCACATGAGTAAAATATGTTGGTGCAGCTGTACTTTAACTCATAGCAATACAATGGAACTAAAGAGTTGAAACCTGTAATAGTGTTAAGCCTTGTAAGTAATTGTAATTTGTTGCATATTTTTGTGGCAAGCTTGTTATCTGATGTAATGTTAATGTTTTGAACCTACTCTATATAAAAGGAATGCAGGGTGTTGATGACACTAGGGCATGTTTAAAAAGTAGACAAGTGAGTAAAAATACCAGCCACTCGCTTTCGAGGTGAACTTCTTTTGCCCTGAGACTCCTGTTGCATTTCCTCAGAATGTCCTGTTAGATGTCAATAAATGAATAACACAAATTACACAAAGACAACTAATCAAAGTATCAGTATGACTGTCTTCATCTAAGCCCCACATGAGTAAAATATGTTGGTGCAGCTGTACATCAACTCATAGCATTACAATGGAACTAAGGGGGTGAAAGCTGTAAAAGTGTTAAGCCTTGTAAGTAACTGTAATTTGTTGCACCTGTTTGTGGCAAGCTTGTTATCTAGTGTAATTTTAATGTTTTGTACCTACTCTATCTAGAAAGAATGCAGAGTGTTGATAACACCAATGCATGGGTAAAAAGTAGACAAGTGAGTAATAGTACCAGCCACTCGCTTTCGAGGTGAACTTCTTTTGCCTTGAGACTCCTGTTGCATTTCTTCAGCACGTCCTGTTAGATGTCGATAAATTAATAGCACAAATTACACAAAGACAACTGATCAAAGTATCAGTGTGAGTGTCATTCATCTAAGCCCCACATGAGTGAAATATGTTGGTGCAGCTGTACTTCAACTCATAGCATTACAATGCACGGAACTAAGGTTAAACCTGTAAGAGTTTTTTGCCTTTTAATTAACCATAATTTGTTGCATATTTTTGTGGCAAGCTTGTTATCTGTTGTAATTTCAATGTTTCATAACATCTCAATACAAATAGGATGCAGAGTGTTGATAACACTAGGGCACGTTTAGAAAGTAGATAAGTGAGTAATAATACCAGTCACTCGCTTTCGAGATGACCTTCTTTTGCCTTGGGACTCCTGTTGCATTTCCACAGCATGTCCTGTTAGATGCGAATAATGAAAAGCACAAATTACACAAAGACAACTAACCAAAGTATTGGTGTGACTGTCGTTTTTCTAAGCCCCACATGAGTAAAATATGTTGGTGCAGCTGTACTTTAACACACAGCAGTACAATGCATGGAACTAAGGAGGTGAAACCTGTTATAGTGTTAAGCCTGGTAAATAACTGTAATTTTTGGCACATTTTTGTGGCAAGCTTGTCATCTGGTGTAATTTCAATGTTTGTATCAGCTCTATACGAAAAGGATGCAGAGCATTGATAAGACTAAGGCATGCTTAAAAAGTAGATAAGTGAGTTATAATACCAGCCACTCGCTTTCGAGGTGAACTTCTTTTGCCTTGGGACTCCTGTTGCATTTCCACAGCACGTCCTGTTAGATGTCAATAAACAAATTGCATAAAGATGACTAATCAAAGTATCAGTGTGACTGTCATTCATCTAAGCCCCACTTGAGTAAAACATGTTGGTGCAGCTGTACATCAACTCATATCATTACAATGGAACTAAGGAGGTGAAACCTGTAATAATATTAAGCCTTGTTAGTAACTGTAATTTGTTGCAAATTTTTGTGGCAAGCTTGTTATCTGGTGTAATTCAGTGTTATGTACCTGCTCTATTTGCAAAGGATGTAGAGTGCTAATTACACTAGGGCATGTTTTAAAAATAGACCATTGAGCAATAATACCTGCCACTCGCTTTTGAGCTGAGTGCCTTTTGCCTCGGGACTCCTGTTGCATTTCCTCAGCATGTCCTGTTAGATGCCAATAAATAAATAGCACAAATTACACAAAGACAACTAATCATCTAAGCCTCACATGAATAAAATATGTTGGTGCAGCTGTATTTTAACTAATATCAGTATAATGGAACTAAAGAGCTGAAACCTGTATTAGTGTTAAGCCTGGCCTTGTAAGTAACTATAATTTGTTGCCTTGATTTTTGTGTCAAGCTTGTTATCTGGTGTTATTTCAAAGGCCATTTGAAAGATTGGTGTCTTTGAGTACATGAAAATCGAAACATATTTGCACTGAAACATATATATCATACTGAAATCAGCAACAAATTGCACAGATACAAAATATCCCCTAATATCCATCTTTTTTTTATTTCTCTCTTGTATTAATTCAAGTCATGATGTCTATTTCAAAATGATAAAGAGATTTGTGCCAATTAGCTACTAGATACTTGTTGAATTCTTGTACTTCTGGTAAACGCATATAAAATAAATATTTTAACCTGAATGCAAGGCTCTGAGCTTCTTCACAAAAGCAGCACATTGATCCATCCAAGAGTATTTCTCGCTATAAAAGTTGCGTAGCTTCCTTGCCCCTTCTAATCTAGTTTCTAGATGTTTTTTTACTCGCTTGATTTGTTCAGCCCATTCAGCTGCCTGACCTACTGCTTGACCTACATGTACTATACAGCCATGCCCTAAAGGTACTTCCTCTAGAGCCTCTGCCAAGCCAGAATTCTGGGTAATAAGGATTGGTACACCTGCTGACAATGCCTCCAAAGCTGTGAGACCAAACGCCCCTGTACCTGAAGGCATCAAAACAAGATCCACTTTCGAAAATTGCTGAGCCAGTTTTGTTCTTTCTTCGCCAGAACTTTTCACAGTTAGATTATTACAAGAGATCCCAAGGCCTTGCAACCTCTCAGCCAGTTTCTCTTGTTCTCCCTCAGGGGCACCAACAACTTTTAGAAAATAACATGGCTCATACTTATTAAGCTGTGCCACAGCTTCAGCAGCAACATGAAGACCTTTATGTTCAAAGTCTTCGGCGTTCCCTCTGCCAAACACTAAGATTTCAAAGGTCTTTGAATTTCGGTATTGCTTCTGTTCAACAAAAGACTCATAAAAAATGCCAGGTATAAGATTGAATATATGATCTTCCTTACAATGATGCAGAGCAGAATTAAAGGATTCTTCAAGCTGAGAGCCAACTGTTAAAACCATGTCAGCTTTCTTACACAATTCTACCTCAAGTTTGTACTGTTTCTGCCCTTCGGAAATGGCACCTCGGTTTTTCTGGAAAAATACTGTTTCTTCTGCATTTCTCAGGACCACATGCACCCATTTACAGCCAAGGTTATTCTTAAGGACCTGTCCATGACGTCCAGGCTTAATGCCATAACTAATGATAACGTCAGTACTAAATCCTTGCGGAGGATACTGCAGACAATCAACTGGCTTATAGGCTGTATATGTTTCAGGTTCAAAAACCTTGATGTTATATTTTTGGGCATCTTCTCTATCCTCTGGACTGGCACGTGGAATCAAAATACCAATTTCAACATTTTCTAGTCTAGAGAGTTCTATGGCCATCTGTCTCATGAAGGTGGAACGACCACCTTTGGTTGACCGACTCCATTCCTCAATCACAAAGGTTATCTTCATGAGGGCAGCTTGGTCATTCAGATAATGTCCTGTAAAAAAGTTTACAAATGATTTCAGAATTGTATGATTGCCCTTGATCCATATATATTAGTTCCTACAGAAAGAATATATTAAATCAAAATGCCACAAATGTATTTGTAGTTCACTAAAAACTCATGCGAGTAACTCATGCGACTGGAGCCTAGGGGTAACACTATTTTTATAATCTCATTTTGTTCCATCAATTAAAGTTATTGAAGGTTCTGAAATTCTGAGAAATTTCTCCAATATCTCGTTCACACCAAAGCCTACATATACCTTGAAGCTTTTTAGTTTAAAATGGCTCAAAATATTTTTCTTAATGGAAGGCAGCCTCTACTTAAGGCACTTTTTCGTTCTACATTTTGTAAGGCGCTCGTTCATACCACCTCGCTTACCTTATAACCCTTGGTATAGGGTCTGCGATCATGATAGAGGATCCCAGATATGAGATCCCATATCCTCAAGTTTCCAACCAAGCCCATCAAACTACATGCTGTTGAAATTTTACTAGCAGTCTTTACGATACTGGATGCATTTATCCTCAAGTACTTTCTTTTCTTTTAACCACCTGTACACGGATTGCTCCTTCGCTCAATTGCCCAGCTGTCGCTTAGTACAAAAAAGAGCGAGCCGAATAAGAAGCCTCATAAAGTATTTCATCAATTATTGAGATTGTTCAGCGATCCCTCTCACCTTATCTGTAGGTGTAAAACCTTTCACTTAATTGCGTGTTCCTCGAGAAAATTTGGTCGATTTGTAGCTGTGTTCAACAAAGGCAATAATTTAATCCGGAAACAATGCTATTCCATGAGACAGGGGAAGCGCAGGAAAACTTGAAACTCCCTTGGGGGAGGGGTCAAAGGATTTTGGTTGTGTCACAATAAAATTTGCCTGACCCCTTATGGGGATCTTCAATATTCTTACAATTTCCCTTCATTAGCAGTTAATTGACAGTCAATTTTCTATAGTTCTTCTTCATACTCTGTTGGCGACGACGGATCCCCCTCCGTTATCCCTTGAAAACCATGTGATCCCTCTTCAATCCTTCACCCACCCCTAGAGTACGACTCAAAGATCTCGAAAAGCCTTGACAGTGCTCTGTGCTATTGTTAACGCACATGAAGCGGCTAGAGCACAAAAGAAGTTTGGGGTGAAACACGAGACGTACGGAGCTCTGTAAGGAGAAATACAAGAGGTAGTCGAGTGTTTCTCTTCACTTCTTGAGTACTTTCGTAATCTTGTAATCTAACTAAGCGTGAAAACTTTCAAAACTAGGACAGTCCAATTCGTTGTCCCCTTGAGGATTTTTGTCTCTGCTCACGTTATAACGTGAGTTACTGCGCTTGTTGTTAATGTTTTCAAATCTTGCTTTGGTTCTCCTATTGCTACTTGCCGGTTCGCTTGCTTCGGAATTTCACTTTCAATTAACGAGAAAAGCTATAGAGAAGGCCCGGAAAAGGTCAGACACAATAAAAATTTGGCAGATGTATGGTGACAGCTCAGCCCCATGTTTTGTACTCTGATAGAGCACGCTCTTTACACCAATGACAACGCGCGTTTTATCTGCACATTATTGTAAATAAATTTAACGAAAAATAAGTTCTGAGGGCGAAAATGTTAAGTCAAAAGGCGGTCAAATTCATGGAGTTGAGAGAATTGAGCTTAAAAGTATGTTAAACCAGAAGCTGAAAAATTTGCTGGTGTACCGGTTTTACCTGTTAGATTTTCTAAAAAGCCAAAGATTACACTGCCGCGGAGGAGGCTTGGGTCCAAGGTTAATTTTCTCTCGACCAGGCGTGATTCGGTCAATTTTGCGTTCGTCTATCACAAGGTAAGTAAGGAGCATAAACATGTTTTGAAACACCGCACCTTAAACGTTCAAAGTGAATACACTCCATGTATTTGATAACCGAGCTAAATATTCCATTACATTGCATAGAAGACAGCTGTTAAGCAAACACTAGTTAACTATAATACTACCATGGCAAAATGAAAATATCGTCATTCTCGATTAGTACAAAAACAAATTGAGGCTTTGATTACCAACGACGAACGACTGCATATGTTTCGTTCCTCAATGATTAAAAAATGCTCAAATAATCATTATCCTAATTTCTCCAAAGAAGCAGTTCAATATCTGCTTCATAGTACTGGGCTTCAAGTATGCTGTCCATCCCTTCAGCACAAAGGGCATCATCTTCTGTTCCATCGAGCGCATTTGAAAGGCCACAAACTTTGAGGGAATTCTGAACCATCTCCACGGGAATTTCAGCCCAAATCTCCTTGACAGGCGTGTATTCAAATGGCCACTGTTAAGCAAAGTCAAGTACTTTCGTCCGACACTCTCTTTGAACGTCTTGTTCAGGCAACGATCGAGTGGTTATTGAAGAACTAGAGTCAGCCCTCCTGGTATTACTGTAACATCAACGTTTCGGCGACGAAGACTCTTCACATGGTCGGTAAGATGGCCTCGGAAGAAATCCCATACCAGGAGGAATTTTTCATTTGGAGGACTACATGGCAAACATAGGCAGATCCACCTTCCTTGTCCATCCGTCCTTTCTTCTGGAACGAAACCTTCTTAAACTGGGAACAATCAGGTCTCTCGGCATTTAAACTCCTTTGAAAACGACTTTAGGTGGCAGTTTCATACTATCAGCAACAACAGCCAGAGCCACAGTAAAACTTCACTTTTCCACTCCGCATGACTTAACGGGAACAGAACAGCTTCCAGTTAATTCCATTGTTCGAACAGAGGCAAGCGTGAGGTGAGCATGAGGTCAAGGGGAGGAGTTATTATTTGCGCTCCTACCCTGTGCATGACTTGCACTCGCCTGGCACTTTTCTCCGTTTGCCTGAAAAACGCGACAAATTATGCCTGTTCTGCCGGCTAAATCTCTTAAACTTTAGTTCTTCAGACAAACGAGTTAGCAAGAGGAAATGCGAGCACAAAAATGAAATATCACGTTTTTACCCTAACCTTTTCATCTCTCTTACTTACATGCTAGTTCCTTGTTCCACTGAAGTTAAACAAGAGGAAGAAATTGGCTCAGCTACCAAAAAACCCTAAACTTGTGCCTATTAAAGAACCTGGAACTTCTGGGATATCCAGCACTAGTAAGACAAGGAAGTTTAAGGGTAAGGACATAAGGAAAGTTACATCTTCAGTTAAATGATTTTCGAAAAAACTTGTAACTACTACGTGCACTGTTCATTACTATCCAATGGTATATTTTCAGGATCGATCGTGTAAAATTGTTTTGCAGACTTGAAGAACCTTCAATCTCTCTTCCAATAAATTTTTTTCGATGTTAAATTATCACTAACTCACAATAAATTATACCTTTCACTAGCTGTAAAAACATAAATCAACTGTGATCAGTTTTATTCAACCTATTATATTTGATAATAATTATGAGGTATGTGTCTGTGGGTATACCTTTGTATACTTGTAAAATTGACAAGCCCCCCTCAACAAGGCTCATCTTAGGATCAATATGAAAAATCTGGTCCCAAACATTGTAAAAACCCCAACTGACAGGAGGCAGGCCGCAGTTGGCTGTATACAAAGCACAGCCAAGGAATTTAAGGAACCATTTAAGAATAATCCAGTGAGTGGCAGGGTGGAGGGCTTGTTCCCAGGACCACCAGACTACAAATACGGTTTTCTAACCACCTGACCACCCTGTTTCCATTATATCTAATGGAAAATCTCTGGAACGACAAAAAAAGCCTTTCTTCTTCCCCCCCCCCCCTTGGAAGGAATTATTTTAAAATTTTTACTAAGTCACAGTTATCAAAGTGGGTATTCTTAAAACAATTAACTCTCTATTTCTCTTTACATACAAGAGGGAGTAGTAACTGATGATGACCTTCAAACACTTGGCAAAGCTTAGGCTAGCATGTACCTGGAATTAAGGAAGATGACATGGATGAAATTGAAGAAAGATAAAAGACTTTGTCTCAAAGGGGATTTCATATACTGAGTCTATGGAAAACAAAAAATGAGGAAGCTGCAGAGAATATGAATTTGTATAATGCATTAGTCCACAACATAGTAGAGCGGAGAGACTTAGCAGAGAAGTTTTGTTTTGAATGGTAAAATCTCATAGATATTGCTCATACCAAACCTGGCAGTTAGTTTAAAAAAATACGGCCAATAGGTGGAAAGTATAGATAAGTTTGTTAGTTACCAATGAATTCTAGTTGGTTACTAATTGTAAGAATTCAGTGATTAATAAATCCTTTATTTACATCTTTTTATGTTTAGCAAATATTATACACGCATTTGATTGCATCTATAGGAGGAAAGATAGATGGGGGAGAATGTGGAAGCTTTAGAATGATCGTCAGATCGTAAGTCGGCTCAAGAGAGAATTTATTTAAAATAAAGTTGGAGTATTTTAGATAAACTGTATAATTAAGTACTCTAAGTTTTTTTAATGAAGACAACTGTATATACTATGTTTAAAAGTAAAAGAACTGCTTGTTCGGAGCAATTAGGTTAGTGATTATGTGAGCGTTTTTTAATGATTGAGGAACGAAACATATTCAGTTGTTCGTCGTTGGTAATTACAGCTTCAATTTGTTTTTGCACAAATCGAGAATGACAATCTTTTATTTTGCCATGGTAGTATTATAGTTAACTAGTGTTTCCTTAACAGCTGACTTTAATGCAATGTAATGGAATATTTAGCCCGGTTATGAAATGCATGGAGACTATGAAGTGTAATTCGGTGTTCCAAAACGTGATTATGCACCTTACGAAATACATACTTACTCCGTGATAGACGAACGCAAAATTGACCCTATCACGCCTGGTCGAGAAAAAATTCACCTTGGACCCAAGCCTCCTCCGCGGCTATGTACCCTCACCTTTTTTGGAAACTCTGACAGATAAAACTGGTACACTAGCAAATTTGATCACCTTTCCGTTTGAGCTTTGATGCTCAATCCCATGGATTTGACCGCTCTTTGAC